GGCCCCCGGAGGCGCCGCGACGCCACCGCAGCCGGCTGATGGCCGCGCTTGCAGGGGCCCGGGCTTTTCACCGGGGCTTTGCGGCTGCATCCAGCTTTGGGCTCTCTCCTTCATTAGAATCAAGAAGCGCAGAAGCACTTGATGATGCAACTCCACAGGCGTTTAAAAGGGAGACACGCTGTCCGGTACCGCAGCCGGCTGATAGCGTGCGGCGCTTCGGTCTCTGCGCTCCGAGCCGCACTGTCAGCAGCTGCCGGGAGTCGGCGCCATCGGCCACCAAAAGCAAGAGTCAGCTTTCAGTTCGCCCACCTCTGGAAAGGCGAACCAAGCAGCTCTGTTCACCAGTGGAAATGAAGAGTCTAGGTGGGGAACGTGTTACCGCAGAGCGCAGGTGAGTGCAGGTACGTACAAGCAGGTACACTGTACAGCAAATGTCTGATATATTCCAACAGCGTCTACTATTGCTGCGGGTTGTCTTTCGCCAGTTCTTTTATTTCATTTCTACGAGCTCTGAGAAGTAACAGCTACAAGATACTTCAGAGGAGAAGTGGTTGTAGAAGAAAGCATCAGACCCGCCATTTTCTTTGAGGAGCTTCTTGTTTATATCACTTTTATTTTATATACCTCTCAGAGTGACTGAGACAGGGAGAAAATGGCAAGCCTTATACTCTACAACAGCAGTATCAATATATGCTCCTAGTTTTACAAATCACGGAGGTGACCACAACTTCTGTCTCTAGAATCGGGAGCACAGACCTATTAAAGCATTTCTTCAAAATTTCTTCCTTCAGTGGATGGAGTAACTAAGTAGATACGAGAGCATGGACGGGCAGCAAAAAGGTACCCATGCTCCCAGGATACTTCAATTACCAGTGTGCTATTCCGACAGTTTTAAAGAGGAGAGGTATACTCCGTGGTGATGCCCGAGGTGTATGTGACATGTCAGCTGCCTTTCCCAGGAGGAGATTTGTAGACAAAAGACAGCAAAAGAAGTCACAAGAAGAAAAGTCAGAAGGGCAACACTACAGAAGGCAGTTTACCCATGAGACAAACACAGCAACGTGTATTTTTGCACCGGCAATACTCAGAACACTCCAGGTGTGGGGTGGTCTGAAAATGGAAAGGATAAAACCCTCTTGAGCGCAACACCTATGAAAAAGTACTTGATCCTCCTCAGTGCCTTGTTTATACAATAATACCACCTCTCAGCAACAATCAAAGGAAATCACAGAGTGCAAGACTCGCTGCAAACCAACAAATCTTGGTACATAACCATGGAGGAAGCAGGGCACATTATGACCAGCTGAATAATTGCAAGTGATACACAGACCACAAATTTGGAAACGACAGGTACAGCAGACTTTCCTAACACTCCTATGGCTCCAAACAAGAGATGAATCCATGGATGACTACTGTGCCCGTTCACTGGGTCCTGGTGATAACTCACTTCTCGGTTATGCCACTCTTGCCACTCCCTCAAAAGATACAAAACCACGGACTACAGGATTCAGTTTCTCCTTCACAAGCTTCTTCCACCGTAGCAGTTATTAGCAAACGATCGCTCGGCCACAACGTTGCTGTGAGAACAGGCTCCTCCTCGCCAAGACCATTCTCACAAAGAAGTAGCCACGCTCTACTTCACATGGAGAGATACATACGAGAGGCTCACCTACCCATACTGAGCAGGTATTTACGCAGAATCTCGCCCTTCCTCAGTGTTTGTGGTTGCATTACTAAGGTACTGCTTACATGCATTTCAAATAATTAATGTCAAATGAAACTCTGTGTTGTAAGACAATAGTGATAAATAAAGCAATGAACGACAGACTTTTAGAAAAACCTTCAACTAATAAGCCGTTCACGATTAAAATACCTGTGTATGTCTAATCGTCCAATCCTGTGAGTAATGCTGCCGAGCAAGACATGAAAATTATATCGGCATTAGACGCATTAGGACATACTGTCGCTACACCCTTGGCTACACGGCCACCTCTAACTACACTCTCTGCAAAAGACATGGTGACGAACAGTAAAGTAGATGAAAAGTGCCCATAGGCTGGTAACGATCCCTCGGAGATTAACTCTCATTTGGCAGAAGAGGCCACAAGGTTGCTGTGTGAACAGGCTTCTCGTGGACAACAAGGTCATTGTCACAAAATTATTCCAGGTGCAGTACGACTCTGGATGTGCCCACCGGCTGCTAAGGAGCACAGAAGGAGAAAACAACCTTTCTAAACAGTAACGCTATTCAGAATGCATGCTACTCTGTTCCTCACACACCGTTTGCATCAATTTTAAACACTTAGCATTGATGGATCAAGGGCTGCTACATGAGAGAGAACGATATGAAACAAGCTGTAAGGCAACATAAAAAGCACAAATTAATAACGGTTCACAGCAAGAGTATCTTGACATTTCTTGAAGTGCCACGCTGTCTGTAACATACCCCAGCAGAAACCGTGACAATATCCTCTACTTTCTAGCACTTCACCCATAGTTTGAAGGCCTAAGAAGAGGCTTATAGAGTCTATAAGCACAACATTCAGTCTGGAAACATCCAGTTCTTCAACTCCACTCTGTCTTTGGAAGAGCACAGCAGTGGATCACCACCAAGGTCACCAACCACTACTCACGTACGCACATGTATTTTAGAATTTAGCCCTTACTAACAAGTGATTTCGCTCCTCTTCCACCCTCTTCCTCAATCCAGAGCTTGGAGCTCACTTTTGACCCAACAAAGGACATTCCCACAAGCAACAAGGAATTCGCAGGTATGCCTGGGAATGTTCTCCCGGTTGAGGAAGAAGTACCTCCAGCATGGAAAACACACACTGCATTCTGGTACACAAGATTGACACTGCTGTCACCACTGGCTGAGGAACACGCTGTGTGAGGAACTTTCACACATGAGGAAAGTAAAACCCACCCCAAAGCAGGCACAGACAGCTCTACGTGCATTTCCAGCAATGGCTTACATTCATCTTAAATAACGACTGTTGAATGAGAAAGCTGTGTTACAAGGGAAGAGTGACAATGAAGTGAACCAAAGACTTGAGGGACTTGAGAAAAACACCTCAACTAACACACTGTTCACGATAAAAATAATTGTGTATTTGTAACAGTCCTATCCTACAAATAAAACTGCTCACTGGCTGGTAAGGAGCACACAAAAAAGAAGAGAACCTTTCTAATGTGTACTGCTATTAAGAATACATAGTACTCTGTTCCTCAAACAGTGCTTTCAACGATAATAAATAATAAACAATATAAGATAATGTGCTACTACACACGCGAGTAGTGAAACAAGCAATAAGGCTGCATAAAAAGTACGAATTATTAACCCATCACGGCAAGTTATACATGGGGCCATTAATGTTCCATTTCAAGAGAAACTCATCCTACTCAAGCACATGTGCTGCCGGGAAGACATCGGAACTTGCTAATAACGCAAACTTCCGTTTCCTAATAATGCAATGCATCCATTCAGAAGAGCTAATACTGACAGGAAAATCGGTATTACAGGTCAGGAGACAAAATCAGAAATTACGTGGCATGTGATAGAAACACAAAGCCCTGCTCGAACGAAACTCCAGCCAACAGTAGCCTCACTTCTTGGCATTCACAGCCTTAGTTACACCAAGGACAATATCCAATACTTTCGTCATATGTCATCCACAGGCGAAAGAGCATTTCCTTCAATGACATTTTAGGGAAACAGAAGTATATCAAAGTCTTTGTCTTCACAGCTGAACACTGTCAAGGTATGGATGCAAACTGCTTCGTCAGCCCAAGAATTATAAGACATCTTCTAAAGTCAAAAGGGTTACCAGTTTACACCTGGACAAAAAAAAAAAAAAAAAAAAAAAAAAAAAGCTGCAGAAGTCAAGGAATCATAGCTTAACATTTCATATTATGTCACCTGTAGAAGGTACACAAGAAAGGTATCTAGTTAGTAAAAAGTCCACAAGAGGCTCACAAAGGTGCTCACACCAAAGACCATAGCCACAGTTCCTCAAAGAAAATTACTTGGACAACAAAAAAGAGGAAAATGCATAGAACCCCTACTGCGGGCCTCATATAACAACTAGGATAAACTGAACCTTTAAACCTGTCTTTAAGACATTTCATATTATGCCACAGCAAACTTTTTCACCTCTCCTGTCTCTGGACAGACACAATTTTTCACCCTGCCCACACATTACGCAATAGGAAAGCACTCATCTGCAACCCATTGCAACTTGCTCGGTGTTCTTTGATTCTCATAATTTGCAAGCATTTGTCATCAAAGAGCCAGTTGCCCAGACCATTTCTATTTCTCATAAACCACTATCACACCACGGACTTCACACAGATATCTATACATCTCTGTAAGAAGAAGGAAGA